TAGTGTCATAGATGCAACGAACATGAAATTGAGCAAACTTCAGTGGACGGTGGAAGACAGGAAGGCCTGGCGTGATCTGGTCCATGGGGTTGCAAAGAGTTGGATTTGATTGTGCGACTGAACAACAACAAAAAGAACAGACCTGAGGTTTGCATTACTAAGTTTGTGAACATGAACCTGAAGAACTATGGGTTGAAACCAGAGAAATTCTCAAGGAAGAATGCACAAAAACTATTTCTGTAGCTAAAAGAAATTAAAAGCCTCGATGAATAACTGATGAAATTCTTAAAACTGCTTAATTTTAAAAGTAAGCAAAAGTAAAAAGGTGACAGAAATAGAATCAGAAGTCTAAATGCAGTGTTCCAGCAACTTGCACATATAGACCAGGAGAACAATTATAACAACCAGTGTAAAGAAACAGAAGAGAACAAAAAAGGAAGAACAAGATCAGATCTGTTCCACGAGATCCAAGAAATCAAAGGGAAATTTAAAGCACAGTTAGGCACGCTGAAAGATCCACATGGAAATAAATTACCTGAACAGGATAAAATAAAGAAAAAATGGGGAAAATATGCTGAAGAATTATATACAAGAAATGAAAGGACAACATATTCCTTTCAAGAAGAACCCTTTTTGAAGAAGAACCTATCATTTTAGAAAGTGAAGTGAAAGCTGCAATGAGAGCAATTGGGAGAAACAAGTCACCAGGAATCTATGGGATATTGATAGAGTTATTCCAAGCCACAGAAACAGAATCTTAACAACAATATGCCAACAAATATGGAGAACAAAACAATGTCTCACGGACTGGAAACACTTGACCTTCATTCCATTTCTGAAAAAGGAGACATCAAAGACTGCAGCAACTATCAGACTATTGCATTAATTTCTCACATGAGTAACGTTAACACTCAAAATTTTACAACAAAGTGCTAGCATATATGGAACAAGAAATGCCAGATGTCCAAGCTGGATTCAGAAAAGGAAGAGGCACGAGAGATCATATTACAAATTTACATTGCTTACTGGAGCATATGAGAGAATTTCAGAAGAAAATCAGCTTGCATTTTCTAGATTTCAGCAAAACTTTTTAATAGCATGAAAACTATGGCTGCTTTGGGGGAAAAAAGGGTGTGCCACAACATCTGATTATTTTGATGCTCAACCTGTATTCTAAACAACAGGCTACTGTTAGGAGAACAGAATATGAAGAAACAGAATGGTTTTCAGTTGGCAAAAGTGTCAGACAAGGATGCATTTTATCTCTGTATCTATGTGCATAACATAGATTTTGCAGGCCTGCAAAACGGAGCTCTTCCACCAGGCTTTTGGAGCCGCCGCCACCACCACCACTATCACTGTTATTACAACTGCATCTACTGGTGGTGTTACTACTAACAACTGATTGTCATGGTAGAAGTCATGAGCCATAGGTCCCTGTGACTACTCCCCGGCCCAGACAACATCTGATGCTCAACCTGTACTCTGAACAACAGGCTACTGATAGGAGAACAGAATATGAAGAAACAATGGTTTTCAGTTGGCAAAAGTGTCAGACAAGGATGCATTTTATCTCTGTATCTATGTGCATAACATAGATTTTGCAGGCCTGCAAAACGAAGCTCTTCCACCAGGCTTTTGGAGCCGCCGCCACCACCACCACTATCACTGTTATTACAACTGCATCTACTGGTGGTGTTACTACTAACAACTGATTGTCATGGTAGAAGTCCTAAGCCATAGGTCCCTGTGACTACTGCCTGGCACAGTCCCTCCCCTTTCTTCTACAACTGAAGCAGACCAATAGAATCTTAGGTAATATCAAAAATTTAATATTGTTGATTTTAACACTATTTTATATTATTGTATTATTTATTAATGTGATGAACTGTGTTTTATCTTATGTAAATTTTATTCTGTTGTGAACCGCCCTGAGCCAGCCTAGGCCAGAATGGGCGGGATAGAAATCAACAAAAACAAACAAACAAACAACATATCAAAAGGAAAGACAGATTCGATTTTGATGAAGGTGGAGTGAAAATTGGTGGAAGGAGCATTAACAATTTGAGATACGCACATTACTAGTGGAAAACACTGAAGACTTGAAATAAGTACTGACGAAGTTTAAAGCAGAAAGTATCAAAGCAGGATTACAGGTGAACATCAAGAACACAATAGCAATGACTACTGAGGAATTACACGTTAGGGTTGACAACAAAGAAACTGAAATTGTTCAAGATTTTCTATCATCAACCAAAAGGGAGACTGCAGCCAAGAAATGACAAGGAGATTGAGACTGGGAATGGCAGCTATGAAGAAGCTAGAAAAGATCTTTAAGTGTAAGGATGTGCCACTGGCAACCAAGATTGAGATAATTCATGCCATTGTATTCCCCATTACTATGTATGGGTGTGAAAGTCGGACAATGAAAAAAACTGACAGAAAGAAAGCCAATTCTTTTCAAATGTGGTGCTGGAGAAGTTTTACAGCTACCACGGACTGCCTAAAGGACAAATAAGTGGGTTCTAGATCTAGTCTAGAATTCTCCCTAGAAGCTAAAATCACTACACTGAGGCTATTGTACTTCGGTTGCATTACAAAAAGACAAGAGTCACTGGAAAAGACAATAATGCTAGGAAAGTTGAAGGCAGAAGGAAAAGAGGAAGACCCAATATGAGATGGATTGACTCAAGAAAGGAAGCCACGAGAGTCCTCAGTTTTCAACACCTGAGCAAGGCTGTTAACAACAGGATGTTTTGGAGGTCTTTAATTCATAGGGTTGCCATATGTTGGCAGTGACTTGACGGAACTTTGTACACACTTTCTACCCAACCGTTTTGCACCTAAAATAGCGAAGGCTATTTCCCCTTCTCTTTCCTCCCACCCCTCTACCTCTCGCTACTTACTTATTCTTCCAGAGTTCCAGCAAGTGCTCTTGGATCAGACCTAAGATTCCATCAATCCAAGTCCAGAAGGAAAAAGTGTCTCCAGAAGAAGCCTCCTGTAGAACCATCACAGGAGACATATCAAAAGAAGGAAGTTGCTAGGTGGGTATTAGAGAAAGACAGGGAAAGGGTTATGCTAAGATGAGAGACTCACCTTGGAGAACTGGGCCCAGGTGATTGTGCTTTGTGGTGTTACCTTGGACCCTTTAATGGGAAGAAAGGACAAGCAATGAGTCACATAATTGTTTGGATGAACAGGGTTGTGTTTCTCCTTAGAAGCAAGACTTCTTTGGTGTCCCAACCCTCCCCAACCCTTCCAGCTCTTTTGGGCTGAGAGAAAGTTAGAACATTAGGACTAACTCCATATTAATGAATAAGTACAAGTAACTCCATATTAATGAATCCCAAGTAACTATCATCCAACTGGCTTCCACATTTACTATCACTAAGGTAGTTTTTCATATTGTTACTCTACCCAAAGGCACATGCTAAAAAACTGTGTGGGTGGGGAAACCCATCCTTTGATTAGGAAAATGGAGTTATAATGTTTTAAGGACAATTAAACAACTTCACGTCTCAGTCCCAGAATCTATGACTCCTAGGTAGCAATCCAGAAACCTTGGTCTCTTTTGCAATTCCAGATGCACAGAAGAAGTTACTCCATCCACTAGGGGTGTGCATTCAATTTATCCAAGCCCCCCCTCCATACCTTACCGGTATTTTCTCAGCCGATCAGCCACAGTTAAAGCATGGCTTGGAGAAGGCAGGTACTTACAAGGACTGTCCCTTTAAATGCCTGCCTTCTTCAAGCTGCATGACACCATGGCAAGTGTCACACATTTTGGAACAGTTCTTTTAAGTGCCTGCCTTCTCCACACATCTGCTCCCCCTCCATGCAAGTCCCCACAACATAAGTGCATGGGGTGGGTGGGTGTGCCATCATTCAGTGTAACTTCTCAGCACAAAGCCCCGTTTGCAGCATGCTCTCTTCCCAGGCAAAAAGTCTGTTTCCCTGTGCAGTTATTATGAAAGCAATAGCAGCCACCTGCTACTCTCCACCCTTCCAGTCAGGAAAAGAGGCTTTTCCTCAAGCAGCAGCTACACAACCCACCCTCTACAGCACTGGAGCAGCCAACAGGTGTGTGGGGGTCTGTTCTTTGTCCTCAGTAGCCTGAAGACCCCCCCCCAATTCGATGCACCCCCAGCCCTCTTCCCAAAAGAAAGGAGCGCTTTTGCCAAACACTCTTGCCCTGGTGCTACGAGGCTGCTACTACCACAGTTCCAGCTTAGCATCTTGCTCCTCTGTTCCTGGCAGAATCCTCCTCAGTCTCTAGTCAACCAGGCCCAGCTTAGCCCACAGGGTGCTTGGAGAGGCTGTTTCCCACCCACCCCACTAGCTCACCAGCATCTTTCTTTAGCCCTCGCCACCGCCCTTTCTTGGTACAAAGAGCCCAAAGCCCAGCTGCTCTTCTCTCTCACACCATCCTTTTACCTACTGCAGGGCTGCCAACATCATCAAGAGCAGTGGCGGCAGGATCGGCGGCGGCGGCAGGATCCACAGTAGTGCTCCCGCTATCCGGGACTGTCCCTTTAATGCCTACCTTCTTCAAGCCGCATGACTTCGTGGTGAGTGAATTCCAAAGGAATGGTTCACTCGCTGCAGAGCTGTGCAGCTTGGAGAAAGCAGACATTTAAAGGGACAGTTTCTCCCCCCACCCTCCACTGGAAACAATGGAGGATGTGGACACCTTCTTCTGGGGCCTATAGAATTGGACACCCGGTCCAATCTTTTGGAAACTTGGGGTGTTTTTTTTTGAGGTAGAGGCACCAGCAGCTATGCTGCAAATTTGATGCCTCTACCTCAAAATACAGTGTCCCCCCCACCCAGAGCCCCAGATACCCCTGGAACAATTCTCCATTATAGCCTATGGGGACTGTTGACTATGGTCCCCATAGGGTATGATGGACCTGAAAAATTCAGCAATCCCAATTATTTCTTGAATCCCAATACTGAACCGATATTGGGATTTGGGAATATCGGGAAATATCAATATTTTTTAGGTTCAGTATGTCCAAACCCAAAATATTCTCTCTCTCTCTCTCTCTCTCTCT